ACTCCGCCCCCGTCGAGGTGGGGCTCCTGCCCGTCCCGGCCGTGGCGTTCCGCTCGGTGGATGGCATCTTCGACTTCAGAATCCTCGCAGGACCCACGCCGAAGGACGTGAGCAAGCAGTACGCCTCCATGGTGGGCCTTCCCGAAATGCCTCCCTTCTGGGCGCTCGGATACCACCTCTGCAGGACGACCCTCAACGACACCGAGTACGAGTAAGTAATGGCAATCGGATGACTTCAAACACCCGTTTCTGTTGATGTTTTGTAGGAATTGTTCGAAACAGAAATTTAGCTTCTGAGAGTTAATTATGTTGCCTATATAAGAAAATGCTTTACAATTATATATTTTGCATCAGTTTCAAAAAGACCAAGTTGAAAATTTAAGGTGTTATGTGAGTTTGTGCTAAACAATGTAGAAGTTACTTATTTTGATAACTGACACGCATTACCTCCAAACTATATATAATAAGTAGAGTAATGATACGTGAATACTCACACATTATATGAATAAGCATAGATACAAATATAGCTCACACATTTACACCCCACACAGACAAAACACACACCACACATAAATACCCATTAACACCCCACACATACAGACACACACAAACATGAACGCATACACACACACACACACACAGATAAACACACAACAACAACACGCAAACACACAGACAAACAATTACAAAACAGACAATAAAACACAAACACACCCACACAAACAGACAAAAAACACAAAACACAACCACACACAATAAACACACAAGCACAAAAACACACAAGCAAACACACACACACACACAACAAACACACAGACAAAAAACACACACACACAAAAACACAAACACAAAAACAAACACCCCAACCAACCCACCCACACCCAAAACCACACACATCCACACCCTCACACCATCCCACCCCACCTTCAGGAGCATCGTCGCCCGCATGGAATCCGACAAGGTGCCCTACGAGAGTGACTGCATCGACGCCAGGCTGAACTACCCCGACCCCTTCGCCGCCTTCAGCAACAGGACGCAGGAGAGAGTCAACGCCATGAAGGCAGATGGGCGCAGGTTCCTCTTCGTCCAATATCCGCATGTGGATGTCGCGAGCGAGGCCTATGAGGACGTCAGCAGCGAGAAGTTGCTCTTGAAGGTGGTGGGGTGTGGGTGTGGATTCCCCTGGGGTGGGGGTGGATTCCCTGGGGCGGGTGGGGGTGGATTCCCTGGGGCGGGTGGGGGTGGATTCCCTGGGGTGGGTGGGGGTGGATTCCCTGGGGCGGGTGGGGGTGGATTCTGGGGGCGGGTGGGGGTGGATTCC